GGGGCCCGATGGCCCCTGGGAGAACGTGGCACCCGAGGGGCAGGCCCCTCCCCACAAAGGCTGGGGGCTCTGGGACAGCAGGGTGGGACCTCGACTGGGGTGTGGGCCTCGGCTAGAGGCGTCTCCGTGTTCACAGCTTTCCCCTGGGGACTGGGGTGATGTGACCCTCACGGCGTGGACATTCGGCCAGATGGTGCAGGCCCGGTATGTCCGGGTGTGGCCCCAAGATGCCCACCGGAGCCCCCCGCTGCGGGTGGAGCTTCTGGGCTGCCAGCCAGGTAGGGGCTGGGTGGACGAGGAGACTGGGGCAGGGAGGGGGCGGGAGGGGGCTGGAGCCCCGGCCCTGGCCCCACGTGTCCCCACAGCCGTGCTCCCATGTCCGGGGACTGGGCATCGCTGTGCCAGTGGTCAGTGTGCCCCCGGGGGGGCCCCGTGTGACGGCGTGGGCGACTGTGAGGACAGCGACGGACAGGGCTGTGCGCCCCCCGCTGCAGGCGCCCGCAGGTACAGGGGCCCCTCGGCTTAGCCCGCAGCCCGGTGGCTCCGGTGACCCCGCCCGCCGAGAGGTTCGGGAATTCGGGGCCCTTTTCCTGGAGTCCCGGGTGAGCGTGTCCAGCCTGGCCGGCCTGAGAGGCAGACACTCGGGGCCCGGCCAGTGTGCGGTGTCTCCCAAGCCTCGAGAGGGTTCTGCCCGGCTGACGTGCCCAGTGTCCGTGGGCCGGGCCTGCCCCAGCCAGCCCTGACCCTCTGCCCAGAGGGGGCTTGTACGCTGGGGAGCCTGGAGCCCTGTCGTGGTCTTCCTCTGCAGAGTTCCGTCCACAGCGGGGGCCCCAGGCCCGTCCTCTGGACCTGGCCAGCTGCCGCCCCGGCCTAGGGAGGTGAGTGGGGCTGGGCCCCTGGCGGGCGAGGACAGGGAGCCGCGTGCCCCAGCAGCTCTGCTCCCGCTGTCCGCGCAGTTCAGCACTGCTGGTCCCTTGGGTGTCCCTGGTGGCCCTCACCACCCCCCCTGCAGCCCGTGAGGCTTCGGGGGCCACCCCAGTGCCAGGGCCGGGGCCGGGGTCAGCCGAGGTGCGGAGGAGCACAGGACAGAGGCCCTGGAGAGGAGGGTCTGCGCCCGGTTATGAGGTTGTGCTTGAGGGCAGAGGGGCCTCAGGGTCGGAGGAGCTGAAACTTGGGGTCCTGAGTCTTGGAGGATAGATGGAAGGAGGGGGGTGTCTGGTTAGCGGGGACTGAGCATGGCATGGGTGGGGGAGGTCAGGGGCTTGGGGGGCCGGAGGGGCCCTGAAGCAGAAGAGGACCCCTGAGGAGGCAGCACGAAGAGCCTCTGAGCCTGGCTTGGGGCGCCCTCAAGGGACCCTGAGGAGTCAGGCTCTGCTCGCCAACGTTGCTCTGGGGCACGGGGTGCAGCTGAGGCGCACCAGTCCCGGGAGGGAGAGGCTGCCGCCGGGGGCTTGGGCTACGCGCTGAACCCTTCCCCCCCGGCAGGGTCTGGCAGAGGCAGGACACCGGCGTCTCGGAGAGGGGTCACCCACGGCCCCCACAGGTATGAGCGCAGACTCCAGACCCCGCCCTGGCGCAGCAGGGTCCAGCCCCGAAACCCTGTCCACCTGTGAGAGGGCTGGCTCGTGGAGGCCTGGCCACTGGGGGCCCCTTGAGCCAGCTTCTGCCCCTGCCCACCCTCTTGGGTTCCAGGGTGCATGTGGTGGGATGGGGAGGCCCCAGGAGGCCCTGGGCTGAGCCTGAGCCTGAGGTGTGACTGCTTCTTCCAGAACCTTGGTCTCCATGGGGCTGGGGTTCACTGGCCACCCACCGCCCACCCAC